CACTTTAGGAGCTTAGGACACAATAGAGAGTCGGCATGCTGAGTTGGGAAAAGCTTTGAACATAGTGATATTATCCATATGTGGTTAATTGGGCAATGTTGCAACATGATGTTTTTTGCTGAATGACTTCAAAAGATTTTGATTAGAGTTGTAATGTATTGTAAAGAAACTCATATGTATTGTAAATAACAGTTGCTTTGCGTGAGATTTTCCTCCTTGTACGCACTTCAACACGCTTGGTCTTTCCATCTTCGCATGATTAAAAAGCCTTGTTGATTTGTAAAGATTTATGCACTGTTGTAATCTGAGGGCCCTTGAATCCTTAATAGGATTTAAAATAAAAGAAATCATTAAATAAAATACCAACACATGTGAAGATAACGCTCCAAACTTAAACCAAACAAGAGGTATTCATCACCAATACGCGAAGTGGATTTACTTTTATGAGAATGTCCAACATTAACTCGAATACGTGAGAAGCAAGCGTGAGTAGAAGAAAATGGCCATGGAGAGGTAGAGCTTTAATGATATAGTTTGAATTCACTATAGTCACTAATTCTTGCGAGTTGAGTCTTGAAAATGGTTGGTGCACCCTGAAATTGACTTGAATCTGATAGACCTGTTCATGTGCGAAATTTCCTTAAATTAAGCTTGAATTCTTGGATGGTGGACTTTAAACCCAACTGTATTAGCCACATCCCTGGGGTGCTCCGCTGTAAGCATATATACCTAGGCATTACTACACTTGCGCCAACTGGTTAACCACAATAAAAATGTACACAAAAGAAAAAGCAACGAAGAGGTGGGGTATTAAGGTCAAAAATTAGGGTGCGACACTTGGTGCTTACTTTGACCTAGTTTTTTAGGCTTGATTCTTTGAATGTTTGTCTTGATGAATATGTGTTTATGTGTAGTTTGAAAAACATGTTTAGCTTTTGACTTCATGATTCCAAAGTGGTTTTGCTTGCCCATTTGATTATCTATTCATGTCTTGGTTTCGTTGAGTGATTTCATGATATTTTAGTTTGTTTCTTGCATATGGCTTTGTTTATGCCTAGATGTGGTTCTTGTTTGTGTTTCTATTGGCATCTTGATGTTAAGTATGAGCTTTATGAGATGTGTATGCTACTGCCCATTTGGTCTTTGAGTTGTAACTCCTATGATTGAATCATTCTTTGCACTTCTCTTGTTTGATTAAGTTTGTAGCAAGTATGCTTGTTGTTTTGGTGTGTGTTTGACATTGTTCTTAATCATTTTTGCATGTTGAATATAACTTGATGTAGCTACTGCCCTTTTTGGATTGTTATCTCATTTGAACTTCTTGGCTTTAATACTTTGATTGTTATCATCTTTACCCTAAAGCTTATCATTCCAACACTTGTTGTTACAAGTTTGTTTGTCCCATATTCCAAAGGAAAGTTCCCTTGTTGACTTGTAAGTCATACTTTAGGATTGTAGTATTGCCATTTTATTCACCTCATGACCTTGTTAGAGTCTTTCCTTAAGCCTTGTTAGAGTCACTCTACCTTCTTTAACCTAGTTTTAGGGTAGGGTTTGTTAGCCTTATGTAAGTATTATTGTTATAGATACTTACCTTCCTTTTTTGGCCTTGCCAGAGCCATTTTATGTTAGAACTTAGAATTAAGTTAGAGTTTGTAAACTCTATGTAGGTACCACTATGATGTGTACTAACCTCCCCTCTTTGACTTTTGTTAAAGTCAATCTTAGTTAGTATTACAACTTAGACTTAGGGAGTTTGTTAACTCCATGTAAGTACCATGGTTATGGATATTTATCTCCCCTCTGGAACCTTGACCACTATTAAGAGTTCCTCAACCCTAGTTAGATGAACTACGAATGCTCTGATTCTATCCTAGTTGGGATACGTAGGCACGAGATGCAATGTCTTGACGAACATACTTAGTGTATATACTCTAGGTCTTTACCTTAGCACAGTTTCCCTTAACAATCAAACTTTAGCATAACACAAATACTAACAAGAGGTTCCTGTAGAGTAATACAGATACTTAGGATGCTAACATCTTTCTTAGGTATAATCAACCCCCGAACCTTAGATCTCTAGTTTTGTTGTTACAAAGTTCGGTGGTGAATTTCATATATTTGTGATTCAATTTAATTCAACAACTTGATATCTGATTTTACCGCAACAAAACCCTTTTGTAAATATAACACTATATAATTTAAATATAATTTATATTTAATCATGTTCCTATCAAATATGTATCGAACACATAAAACAATAAACTAGTATCATGTTTTTTATCATATGTGAACCAACCGCGTGATAAAATAAATATTTATTCTCTCATATCATTTCTTACTATTATCCCAACCTTTATTCCAACTTCTTATCGTGTTCTATCACTATTCTATAGTACACATTAAATAGACCTTTAACATACATATCTCACATTCAAGATTGAATATTTGAGACGTAACCTAGGTAACCCTATAGCTGTAATCAAAGAGGTTTTGGATATACTCTATTTATCAATTAGATTTTCAGTAGAATTATATTCAACCTTACATACCTAATTTGTAAAATGATGACTACCTCTCTTATATAGATATTGTCTTACTTTATCTCTATATTGCTTTAAAGATAGTTTGGACAAACATTGAAAGAAAAGATAAGAAAGTAAAGTTCTTCAAACAAGGAGCAAAAGAGCAAAATAAAGCCAATCACTTGTTACGTCTCTTACAAAAACAAACTACTTTCTACAAACTAACCAAATTAATCGCATCAGATTGATAGGTTTAGTTTTTGAAAATGATACTTTAACCAAATATCATTTTTGTAACACAACAAACTTATCTCGGATCATTATAAAACGCGTTAAGAATACAAACAGGCATCAACTCGAATGCTTGAGGACAGGCTATGGATGTAGCCACCCTAACTAACTCATGGGCTACTACTACATTAATTTGCCTCTTAAAAAACTCAACCAACGAGTCTATACCCGTGAAGCACGTGTACTCTATTTTAATTAAATTATCGATACGTATCGAGTATCAATATGCATACGGTACACGTATAGTACGCATCAAAACAGTACTAATTTTTTTTTAAAAAGTTGACCAACCAGTACACATTTGGTACCACGTATCCAAAAATTTTAACTTTTTTCATATGATATAATTTTAGTTTTTTTGAGTAAAAATTAAATTAATTATTCTATTTATTTTAAAAAAGAATAGGCTAAATCTAAAAAGGATTAATGATTTAGTTTTTGTTCATACAAATATTTGTCTTCTCTCGAAAAAAAGTAAGGTTTATAATAAAGGAGTAACAAAAATGTGGAATATTGATAAAAATGAAATAGATCTATTTGATGAAGCTGATATTCTTAAAGTTATTAGTCATTCTCTCGATAAACCTGAATTAGAAGTCATTCTTTTTAATGATATTGGAGAGACAAAAATAAATATTCAACCATGACTTCATAATTTATTGATACTTTTTAAATATGATTTATTTATATCTTGCAAAGATATTAAATTATTTTTTTAATATAAATGTTTTGCTGTTATTTAAACAATACAATTTTTTGGTTATTTTATAATTGTATTTAAGAAAATTATACTAACGTACTTACCATAATTTTTTTTTAAATATCGTACTCCGGATTAGTATCCATACCAATGCAACCCTGGTTTGTACAATACACATTGATGCTAGGAATACAATCTTTAATGATAAAACTAAAATTAAACAAATAAGAGATGGGTTTTGTTAAAACCATCAATTACTCGTTTTGCATCGAACTCAAAAATAACATTGTCAACCAAATATCATCTTGAATCAAGAGAAAATCTTATTTTAAAATATTGCATATGCCTTCAAAAGGCCAAGCTATATCAAGGATTTTAATCCTAACATTTATGCTATATAGTATCAGCTCTTTTAATTACCACCACTCTTATTAATGATGAATTGCCACCACTCTTATTAATGATGAATATTAAACATGTCATAAAACTGAAATGTAGTAATGAAGACATGTTTCCATTTTGATTAGAATAAAAATACATATAGAGACCACCAAGATTCGAATTTAGTTAAATATGTTAACACAGATCCAAAATTACCTGATACTGAGATGGGAAGGGCATCATAAGCAACAAGCTTCTCTAAAACACGCATTGCAATCTTTCCAGAACTAAAATGAGTTTTCACACCAAGTTAACAATGTCTAAAAAACAATAAATGAGATTGCACCTGAATGAGTTAGTTGCAAGAATCCTTAAACAGTTTCTTAAAATAAAAAAAGATACATTAATCTTTTGAGCTATTTATTCAGGTCAGCAAATATGAACATGAATCAAGACATGCACGGAAAAGACTTATAATGATGTTCTTGGTCAATAGTGAACAAGCTTGCTATTTGTCTTACAAAGCAAGTTGGTAGATGTAAGATATAGGCAATGATCTAAGAGGTTGCTAAAACTAGAAAAAGCCATGGACAAGAAACTGAAACGACCCGTCAGAAAAATGGCATCTTAATGAGAAATTCCAAAGAAATAAAAAAATAATGGAAGGTTATCACGGGGAAAATTATATACATAGTCATGCATGCATAGAGAGTAAGAATTAAAAGCTGAATTACCTACCAGCAGCTTCGGGTTGAAGACTGTAGCCAGACCAAAATAGGCCTGCAAATCTCTCCTGCATAAATAAGGCACGCACGTTCGAAATATACAGAAAAGTTTCTCAGCCTAAGGTACATACATTCGAAAATCACCAACAGTTCTGTATTTCTTGTAATAATAAATAAAGCTCAGAGAGGCATGTCCACAGTACAATGATGCTATCTGAGAAGTGAAAATCTATACTCACAGTCAAAGACAACGATGATAATTGAAAGAATAATGGAATAAGCATCTTTTACAAATTGACCATACACAACAGGTAAATTTCATAACTCATCAGCCTAATACACAACCTTATGATAAAATGTTGGCAAACAAACTCTTCATCATCTTGCATAATGTTTTAATTTTCTAAGTACAACTAGCTTATAGAATCTTGATAAAATGTTGGCAAACAAACTCTTCATCATCTTGCATAATGTTTTAATTTTCTAAGTACAACTAGCTTATAGAATCTTCGGGTCCGGAAATACAATGCTAGACTGACCAAAAATGCTAGAAAAGAGACACCGGCCACGATCAGAAACGACAACATGAAACAGTGGATGCCAAAGCAGGAGTTTTCTATATTGGCTTCCTTGTCATATATATATCCAACAACTCTCACAGAAAGTATATAGGACCCAAGTGGACTAGCTGCAGCAATCGCGTTGAAAATGGTACCCATGTGCTTCACCCCAAATATCTCAGAAGTGATTATTGGCATTAAGGACCAATTTGTACCATAGCATATTCCCACCAGGACAGGACCCAAATAAAAATTTCCAGGGAAACCAGAAGCTATGATTAAATGACCAAGAATTGTAATCCCCAGAGTTACACTCAACAACAGGGGCCGCGGCCAACCTCTTTCGTGCATGATATAATCGGACACATGGCCACCACCAAAACGCCCGAGAAAATTCCACATACTCCACAATGACACCATATTGCTAATCTCAATATAACTATACCCAAAAGATTGTCCTATTTGGCTCATATTATTTATCACCGTAAGCCCAGAACCCAAACCGGCTATCATGGTCACAAACAACATCCAAAACTCAATGGTACATATAGCTTGTAATATGTTCATTTCTACCTCAATGGGCAACATATCATCTGAAGTATCTGGTACTTGCACCTCCACTCTAGGAAGCTCTTGGTATTCTATTGTAGGGGCAGCAGTCTCAATAGACCTACCTTGTGAAAGTATCTTCGAGTCCTCCAAATGAGCTTTCGCAGCAATACCAAACGGCAATGCTAGTAGAACCATAAGGACCACAAATGTAAAAGCCCGTGCCCAATATGGTAAGCTCACGAAGTTCTGCAGAACTATTATGAACATGAGATACACAACAATGATGACTGTGACCACGGAGAAACCATCCAAATGCTTTTTGTAATCATAATCTTGCACTTCATAGATTCTCAACAAAAACATAAATAACATGCAGATGATTGCAGGTAAGCAAGCTATCATCAAAAGGAAGGTGGCTGGTTCACCATCAAAAAAAGCATGATACAGTTGAATCAGGATAGCTCCACTAAGCCCAACAAAACCCTGAATAATAGTAAGGATGAAATTTACTTCAATTTTTCAGTGTTGTTAGTGCAAATAAAAGCTAAAATTAATCGCCAATTTCTAAAATTGAAAACAATATTTGGAGTTTGGTTGGACTGACTTATTTAAGTTTATCTACTTACTCTTGTCGTAAGCGCTTGTAATACTGTTTGAAAGAGCTCATGAAAACAATTTATGTTACTTTAATTGTGGATGTACTCATGGAACACAAACAAGAGCTAGCAGCGAGATGCATGCATTTTGAAGATGATATAGTCCTATTTAGAGAGTCAAGGAAGATTTAAATGAGAGGTTCGAGATGAGCTTTAAAAACACTTGACTTTCGCCTAGGCAGAAGTGAGACAGAGCATATGGAATCTAAGTACAAGCTCTTAACTAATCTGTTTATCCGAACACAAGCTTGAATATTTAAAAATAAAAGTTACCTTCATGATACCAATGATGGTGCCACCATAATGAGGAAAATTACGCAAACCAGTAACAACATTGGTAGTGTTCAAAAAAGTTTGACCATTAGAAGCAAGCCAAGCGAAAAAGCACATGAGAGGAACAGGAGGCTGATGGATCAAGCCCACAACAGAAGCCCAAATGAAGAAAAACCCCACGAAACACTGAACAGAACCAGCCGCCACAACAATCCAAGGACCACCGAGTGAACTCCACTTAGATGGCGGTGATCGGTCACGATAAGGTGTGACGGCGGAGTAAAGGAGGCCGGCGAGAACACCGAAGTTAGCACCGATGTCTTTGAAGACGGAAACAGTGTCGAGTGTTGATTGATCGTAGCCTTGTGTTGATTTAAGGATCGGAGAGTAGATACTGAAGGTGTACGATGCACCGCAGCTGGATTGGATCCATATCGCCGCCGCAACGCCGGTCCAACGGTTCGCTACCCATTCCATGTTTGTTAATTAACCAACTAACTCCGGCGCGACCTGATCCTCCTTGGAAATTGGAATGGATGCTATACAGACATGCGTACATTAATTTAATTAAGTTATATTTTTTTATGGACCACGTTGTGATGGATAATTATGATCATTTTTGAAATAAACGTTTGTTAGCTTATTAACTTAAGTAAGAGAAGGACAGATAGGTAAATATAGCTCAGACTATTCCATTGATTTTTTATTTGATTTGTATCGTCTAAAAATTGTATCCATCATCAAATTGAGAATAATTAATTAATCTGCGTGATTAAATTAGATTAAATTAAATAATTATATTCAATAAATTAATTTTTGTAACAAAATTCTATAATTATTAAATCAATTGAAATGAGTAACTCTATGTCTAAAAAAAATTAAAACACCAATAAAATTTTAAAATATCATATTTTTATAATTTCATTCTTTAAATTCAAATTTTAAATAGAGTTGTCACACGTAATAAAATACAAATTTAGATAAATTTGGAGTAAAGGCTAATTTAGATAAATTTGGAGTAAAGGCTAATTGCAACTCAGGATAACAATTGGACGCATTTCTAATGGCTATCTGTAAAAATTAGCCACAACATATAGGACAATTGGGTACCGATACGAGCAATTGCCCAATAAAATAAAAGAATATTTGCACAAATACAGATATCTAAGGTCTATCCAGCCTCGTACCTGCATAATATATATTTATATATTATTATTATTATTATCTTGTGTTCATTTTAGTATAAATATTAATTTATTTCTTAACTCGATTATAACATCCTTGATTTTTTTAAATTGTTAAAACCTTAAAATAAGATGATACATTATAATTGATCAGATATTTTTTATTAGAAATATGGATAAACGGGTACGAGTACTTAGTACCTATAGTAGATATGAACTCAAATACATAAATTTTTACAAACCACAGATATGGGGTCATGTACTATAGTACCATACATATACATATACTCTGTCTATTGTTACCCTCAATTGCAACATAAATTAAATAATAAAGTACCTAACTCTATCTAATAAATTTAAGGCTTAAATGCACTTTTGGGGATTTGAAAGAAACACCAACTTCTAGGCTCAAAGAGATTGATTAGAGATTAACTTCTTATCTCTCAAGTATTTGGGGATTTGAAACATTGTCTTACATCATCAGCACAATTTTATTCAAAAGTATACCAACAATAATTTCAGGTATCTGATTTTCATCATCCTTCTTTCAATTTTTGTTGAAACAACAGTTTGATAAAGACAAGTGAATGGTAGAAATATATATATATATATATATATATATATATATATATATATATATATATATATATATATATATATATATATATATATATATATATATATATATATATATATATATATATATATATATATATATATATATATATATATATATATATATATATATATATATATATATATATATATATATATATATATATATATATATATATATATATATATATATATATATATATATATATATATATATATATATATATATATATAGACATAAAAATGAAAGAAAACGAGTTAATACGAATGGATTGATTCAAAAGATGCATAAATATTTCATTAATCTTACCAATTCAAAGAAACAACAATGCTTAAAAGCAAATACACAATCAACATGCAAAGAAATTACGAAAGGAAATGCTGAAGTAGCCAAATGATTTCCAGCTTTAGGGAATTGACTTCAAAAAAAAATTGGTTCTTGCTTCACTTTCCATGTCTTGGGAGAAGGTTGATTCCAACGTTTGGTCCCACGCCTTAAAAGTTCAAAATTTTGTTGTCGGTTAGCTCTTAAACCTTTGCTTTCAGAGGATAACATCCTTCCAGCGAATGCCCTGGTACTCCCTCGTGGAACTCACAATGTGCATTAGGGTCATACCTAGGGGGTATGGATCTGGTATCAAGGGAAGATACCTAATAACAATCAGACCCTTCTCCATTAGAGACAGTAATAGTTAACTGTAGCTCATAGAGATTAGTTCGAAATTAGTTCTTACCCTCCTATTGTGGTTCTGATTGACCGGTGCATTGTGATTCTGAGGAGCCTGGGACCTTGGCGGTTGATAAGGGCGAGCGATAGGTGCTGGTTGGTATGGAGGAGCTATTGGATTCTGCTGATACCCTTGAGCCAAAGGCTATTGATAAGGAGGAGGAGTTACTCGTTGTTAATTAGGCGCCACAACAGCTACATAGGGTTGCTGACCAAACTGCATAGGATGACGAGTTATTGATAAACAAACTTTGTTGTTGCCTCTTCCATGAATGGCTTCTTATTCGATTAGCAGACACAACATTTGTCTCACCTTCCTTCTTTTTCTAAAAATTTCCAAAAAACTTATTGACATTACTGTCGTTAGAAGTTCCAGCAGTATTTGTCATTTTCCCATTCTTCAGATCAATCTCAACTTTAATTCCTACAGTGATCAAATCAAAAAAACTTGCAGACATACTGCCCACCATTCTCTCATAGAACATTGGTTGTACAATATCCATAAACCAATCAGCTAACTATTTTTCCGCCAGAGGTGGCTCAACCTGAGATGTCATCTCCCTCCAACATTGGGCATACTCTTTGAACGACTCGTTGTCTTTGTAAGACATGTTCAGCAGTTGTCTCTTATCGGGAGCCATGTCCATGTTGTACTTGTAGTGCTTTATGAAAGCATCAGACAAGTCTTGAAAGCAACAAATGCGACTTTGGTAGAGACTTAGGTACCACTTAAAGGGGGAACCCTTCAAGCTCTCTTGAAAGCAATGGATCATAAGCTTATCGTCTTCAATATGGGCAACCATTTTTTGGTAATACATGACAAGTTGGCACTTAGGGCAGGTGTGGCCTTCGTATCTGTCAAAGTCGGGGGTCTTTAATTTTGCAGGAATCACAAGGTCAGATACAAGACACATCTCCTTAGCGGCAATACCAAAAACTTGATCTTCTTCCATTGCTCTAAGTCTCTTCTCAATAGTCTAAAAATCCTCTTTAATTCTCCTTATATCTTCATGTCTTTCTTCTTCCTCATCAGACATTTCTGGAGCATGTTGTGGATCTTCAAAGTAAGGTTATACGCGTGTGTGAACAGTTGGAGGTGTATAAGCATAAACCATATGGTAAGCCTCGTTGGGTACTGGTAGATGAACAACTTATTAAGTAGATTTCACTACAACACAGGGTACTTGAGCTTGAGGTGTGAAACCGGGTGGCAGACCAAAAGGAGGCCACGTAGAAGGTATTGTCCTTGCGGGTTGAGATTCAAGCATTGAACCGACGATTTCTGAGATGATCGTTGGTTGAATGCCCATCTTGGCCTCGATGACTTACAGCATTTCCATTATCTGACCGACACTCCCTCAAAGGTCCTCAAGCTCTGAGCATACTTGTTCCAACTCTTTATCTTGTTCTGCCATTCTTTGACGAGCTTGGGCTCTAGTGTTGTACACCACTCTTTTTTTTTGTTACAAATTTTATGATGTATAAAAAAATGAAAAAAAAAATTAATTTTTTGAAATTGAAAATGGAGAATAATAATAATAATAATAATAATAATAATAATAATAATAATAATAATAATAATAATAATAATAATAATAATAATAATAATAATAATAAATAAAATCTAACTATAAGTGTGACAAGAAATTTTTATTTAAATCTAAATAAAAGGAAACAAATTAAATTACCACTCTTTTTTTATAAATTTGTTTTACTTTAAAAATGATAAATAAAGCTAATTATTATTACTATATTCAAACCAAACACACAAAAAAAACACCTTTGTTAAAAATGTTAACAAAACAACATCAAACAAGACTTAATGTGTTTTTGAAGTCAAATTCAATTCTACTTAATTAAAGTAAATCTTTGATGAAAAAGTTTCTAGCCTTTCAAAAATTCAATATAATGCAACATGTGCCAATGTAGTGCATTGATAGAAAAAATGTAACAAACAAATATATGAATGGTATGTCATAGGTGTGTATGCATAAGTAAAACACAAACAACTAATTATAAAAAAAGTCATCCTATCCACAAGAGTCATGCTATCTTACTCTAAGAATGAGTTGAATTTAACAAAATTAGCACAAACCATTGTTACCTGATCATTAAACTTATGCATGAAAGATCTCTATGACCAAATGTAATGATCATAAGAAATTATGCAACATGGGACACTAATGAATCATGAATGCAAATAACTTGGACACAAATGAGTGAATGTAGATGAATTAGGTGGGGGAAATTTTGGGGTATGACACCTAGTGAACCATTTCTAGCTTAGAAGTAAGTGTTTCTTTCAGAATTAAAACCCTTAATTTTAGCCAGGGACAAAGTAGTTGTGTCAGATAGTTTGACTATGCATTCAATCTTCAAGAGAATTTGTCTATCTACACACCCTCTATAAAGGATCAACCATATGTTATCCTTCGCACACACCACAAAGTGTCGAAGAAGTTGAGAAAGCCAAAAAAAAGTGTAGTGGTTGTTCCTCAATAACCAATGAAATGGAAAAATCAAAAAATGAAAAAAGCTCGCTAAGTCGAGTACCACAAAAGACAACTTAGACAAAAACCAAGGCATCCCGATGGATTGAAAGCTTTAAAGAAGCGGTCCAGGAAAAATTAGGGATAAAATCAATCAAAAGAGGTCATCAAAATACTCAACAAAAACAAAATAAGGTGACTGCCATTTAAAAAAAAATCAGATCTTGAATCCTCATCCTTACCATCAAAAACTGAATGTGTGTGTTAAATTAACTGAACATAGGACTAGAGTTCATCAAAAAGAAGGGGTGAGTTAAAATTAAATTTTGAGCCTTATATCCCTTTGTTTCAAAAACCGTGAATCAGACAACGTTACAACCCATAGACCTAATTGAGGTAGGTTTTATTTTTAAAGCATGCTACAGTAAGGTTGCATTAACTTGACTCCTAACGATCTTTGCT